TCCACTCCAGTATACGCTTAGTTTTAAGCATGTGGGTAGTCCCACTAACGTTAAACACATATTTAAGTGCTTGTCTGGACTGGGGTTGCTGAGAACAATACTCATTATTATGAATTATTATTTGTTATGATTTATTATTAATAAAGTTTGGATCTGTCTCTTTTGTTTCCTTGAAGGTGGCAATCTTTGGGATAAAATTAAACAATATGGCTGATTCTCAGTCACTCTAAGGTCAATATATACCATTCTGGAGTGCGAAGGAACCTTAAAGTGGTTGTATATGTAGGTATTAAAGGGCCTTCATGTAAATTAGAATTCGACTCCACATCTGGATTTCAGGTGTGAGAAAATGTGCAAAATATTGTATGCAAAATGTGAAAATACAGAAGCTGATAAACTTCTCTCATTAATCTTGCTTCTTGTCTGTAACGTCAACCCAGTTTAATTGATACTGTCAATATTAAATCATTAATAAAACCCACCATGAATTTAGGGAATATGGATTCATATTTGAACAGCAAATGAGCTTTGAGTTATTGAAATTTTTTATACTGAAGATTACCACAGATTCTTAAATAAGACATTTTATCATCAGAACAAGATGTGTTCAGTTTAAATGAATCAAAGATATGCAAATACACCTTGAAATGAAAAGAAACTTGTAGATTCTCCTTTATTGCATGTTTAAAACATGGAGGCACTTACACATTCAAAAATCCAACAGAGCTTTACATAAGATGAGAATACACTAAAGTATCCGTACAGGAAACAAAATACAGATAGTTAAGTCACACTAAATCACACAGGTTTCTGAGTGGGGCACTATTTCCTATGTTCCTTAATTTCCTGTCTCTCTAGGATTTAGAAAACAAAAAATCCAAACTTTTTTTTCTTGTGTTGTATACATGTTGACATAAAGGCTTGTCATGTTGACATTCTTATTTCATGTTTCTGTGATTGTTGTGGAAGGCACGGAAGCTGAACAAACAGAAGATCTACTTTCCTGAAGACAATCTGACTTTCTGGGGCTGTTGCTACTAAATTGCAAATGCAGTAATTATTTAATGGCATGTTTAGATTGTCTGATTCACCAAAGCCCCATTTCAGCACAGCATTGAAGCATATAATTCAAATTGATTTCAATTGGCCTTAAGCATGTGCTTAAGTGCTTTACTGAATTGGGTCCAAATAAGGTAAGTGCAGTGGGCGGTAGCATTTTTTCCATAAGTATTTAAAGGAGACAGAAACAAGCAATTTTGTATCATGATGCCACTTCACAGTGGTGGGTCATTAGCTGACTGGTGATTAGCCATTGGAGACTTGCTTCAAGTAATCTTTAAGGTTTCCTTTTACCAATAAGCAGCAGTACTGGTGCTGAGTCAAACGCTGTGAGGGACCTGAGACTGGCTTCCCTGGGAAACCTTAGCAAACATTCATCCATTATACTCATAATGTTATATAGTAAGGCCAGGGTGAGAAGTGAAGTTAAAGAGGGAGGTGGGAAAGCAGCTGACAAAATACAGTTGAAAAGTTAGGCCCAGATTTTATGCTTTGAGGTATGTTTACATTGTGCAGTACCTCACACCACAAGGAACCCCGTTTATTTCAGTGGGATTAAGG